GCGATGTGGCCTATACAATGACTTGCGGTGGCCAGCCGATGTACAAGTCAGTGTTTTATCCTCCCAGACGAATCTGGTACCAATTTACCGTCCCCGGAGGGTAGAAGGCTTGGTTGGCCTGGACGGGAGTCGATCCGAAATTTGACTCTCGGACCGCGCGAGTGGTAAGCGTGCCACTTGCCGCTACATTACTTCCGCCTCGGCAGAAATATCGTGCACGCATAACGAGAAAAATCGCATTAACAACCGAAAAATTCCCCGCTGCTTTGCATTTCTCTAACAGACTGATTACCGAATAGCTGACATCGGAGGGATGGAGGTATTGATATACGCCGGTGGAAGTTCATCAAGGGTTTGATCCCCGCCCGCATGCACGGTAAATGGCGACATTTGTCACTGCACCATCTGCACCAAAGTGTAGTTAGAGGTTGAGATTTACCTGCATTGTTTTGTTTCATCCTTATTAGAGCAAGCAAAGTCGACCCAACTGATCGAATTTGGCGCCTTGTGGAGCCATGTCACCGTTGCTGGTTCCGGTAACGACGAGAACTCGCAGGACATATTCACAAGGCCATGATTCAGCTGAAAACAGTAGTGTTGCGAGAAAGTTGTTCATAACTGGTATACCTGTGCTTCATGATGATGCAGGAAATCTTTTCGTAACTGATGTACAAAAAGCTGAAGCCCTCGCCAAGTTCTTTTCTTCCGTTTTCTCCTCTGCGGGTAACATAAACCCTTGACGTAAGCTCCGAAAGTCGTGTATCTCTTGATACTATCAGGGAGTGTGTGGTTACAAATGAAGACGTTTACAAAATACTAAGATCGTTCAAGTGCTCCACTTCGGTTCCTTTCGATGGTATTCCACAAATTGTTTATAAAAACTGTGCCCTTTCCTTATGCAAACCTATTTGTATGATACTCAATGTATCTCTCATGTTCTGTGAGATCCCGATGAGCTGGAAAGAATCTATCGTGACTGCCATCCCTAAGGTACCTGAGCCTAAGCATGTCTCTTCGTTCCGTCCTATAAGTA